CCAGCGGCCGACTACAGGAAGCCCCAGGCAGAGTTGCTCTGCCCCAGGCTTCCTGCAATCAGCCGCTGATCAGTTTCAGCAGCAGCTGACTTGGGGACGCCTGGGTTTCTTAAGTTGAATCTGTATGTAAGTCAGAACTGGCATCCAGATTCACCCGCAGTTGAAACTGATCAGTTTCAGCAGCGGCTGACGCCAGTTCCGACTTGCATACAGATTCTACTTAAGAACAAACCTACAGTCCCTATCTTGTACATAACCCGGGGACTGCCTGTAATACGGTTATCCATTTAAACGGCTACACTTCTACATCCCTAATAAGTAGGTCAGAATCTCATGTACTGCTGGATCTATATTGTTTTTAGTCTTTGGAAAACTGTAAATGTCAGCATTTACTCCATTACAAAAAGAAAAATTGAAGCTCAAAGTAAATAAAAGTTAATTTGAAGGGGCAAAGTAACACCTCCCCTAGTTCATTTGAAATTGAAAAATCAATCAGGAATTGAGAGCCATAAAAACCTGTTCTCTTCCATTTAACATTTACTTACAATATATACTTTAAGTATAAAAATAAACAGTCAGTATGGATGCTTATTTTGATTTATAAACAGGATTATTGTGTTTCATTTTGAGCCTTGTATAAACATGTTAGAACTAAACAACAATAAGCCAGGTAAAGAGAAGTGAAGAGCAGGTGCCTATAGACAAGTTCCTAATAAATCAAATACAAAGAATTAGATGTTTATCAATAAATGTTGGTAGGTGTTAGATTTAAAGATCTTTACTGTTTATATTTTGACATGTTAATTATCAAGTATTTCCTTTTCAAATCTCAACAACTGTTAAACAATTGTCTCAACTCCATCAACAAAGACTTCCTCCCACTGAATAAATAAGTGTTTATAATTTAAAACAGATGACCTTTAAAAAAAAATAAAAATCTTGTTATGCTATGCCTACTAGTACACACACTTGCAAGCAGAAGATGATGATTACTTAGATTTGGTTAGAATTCTAGGATTATATAGAAGTGCAGCGTACAGAGCAGCAATGGGCAACATAGGCCAGTGAGTGGGTCGCACAACTGGCATTCCATCTCAGTGGACTGCAAGAGATGTCATAACCAAGATAGTCTCCTGGGACAGGGTAGTGTCTGTCTCCAGTAGAGACTATTGGGTATGTGTGTAAACAGGCAACCACTAGAAGTTTCAGCAGTTCCAAGCTCGCGGTTCGGCGAGCCCTGCTTATTAGAAGTTACTGTTCTTATTCTTATTAGGAATTTATGCCATTAAAAAAACGAGTCCTTTTTGTTTGGCGAGTAAGATTTTCCATAATTTGTCGAGCCCTGCTAATAAATGAGCATACCCCAGAGTATTGGGCAAATCTGGTAACACCGGGCTACAAGACAACACAGATCCTGAAGTCTTAGCAGTAGGATCTGGAACACCACCACCATAGAAAGAACCTAGAATCCAATTGCTCTTCACCAGGGATCTCAAACTCTTTGCCCCCAGGCTATCCCTGGGCAGAGGAATTA